AAAAATATATATGTATATATATATATATATATATGTATTATTTTTTAATTTGCTCATGATCTACCAGTACTACTACTGGTACTGGTACATGATCTACCAGTACTACTACATGCATGAAGGGGTTAAATAATAATATAAAACATATATAACAGTATATATATGTATATATATATATATGTGTATTATTTTTTAATTTGCTCATGATCTACCAGTACTACTACTGGTACTGGTACATGATCTACCAGTACTACTACTGGTACTGGTACATGATCTACCAGTACTACCGATAGATTCCGATCCAACCCTAAAAAGTGGGTTGGATAATTATCTGGTCATTAAGGACAAGTAAAAACACTACATGACGCAATGGTATGGATTTAAATTTCAGTGAACATAAACCTGAAATTATATTTAGTTGCAATGCCAAACAGAGACAGTCACAATATACTGTAGACTGTCAATAAGAAATGGACATAGACTGAGGTCTGTGACTTCCAATATCAGGGTCATGTCAGTGGCTTCACGTTGGTGAATTTAGGTCAAAAACATCTGGCTTTATACTGTATGATCCAATCCAGGCTGTTGTCAAAAAATCACGAATAAACTAAAAAAAAAAAAAAGGTTAGCAAAGGTTAACTTCTCACCAAACTTACTTTGTATAATAAGTCAAGTAATACATACACTTGGTAGTATTCTGAACATCATTGAGAGATAAACAGTTTAAGCACAGGCTCAACATTAACCCTCTGTTGGTCTAGTCCCCATACAACTTGGTAAAGGTCAAAGGTCATGACAAACGCTCATGCAGCTGCAGACTGACATGCCTCAGGACATGGGGCAGTGAAATCAATATGTTTTTTTTTTTATGGATCAACTAACTTAGTTTCAGTCACAGGACATTTAAAAACCACTTTGTATAGAGAAAAATGTATTTATTTATGTGAATATTTAAGGCCTATAGGCAATAAAGCTGTAATAAATATGTACGAGCAATGTGGATGTTAAGTGTATTTATAATGAGGCTCTAAATAGGAGTGGTACCAACTGTTTTAACTCTATCCAACAGGATGATCCAACTAAACATGTTTTGGATGAAGTAG